CCTACAAGGACAAGGTGATGAGGTGTCAGGTGTCCCCTTCTAAGACAGGTCTCACACGAAGGAACAAGCAGATGCAGAGTCACAATGGAGACAGACAGGTGCAGAGGTGGTGTGAGAGAGAAGGCTCACAGTGAAGAACAGGGGAGGGGTACAGAGCCAGGAAACATCAAAAAAGATCATGTTTTGTAAGCATTGCACAGACACATCAGAGAGAAGCTCTGATGGAATGGAAAACTATTGCTGAATCTTGCATCATAGAAAAATGACTTAACAGGAGAATATTGCTGCTAATTCCATACAAAGATACTATAGTAGAAAAGGGGAAAAGGACTAATGTCACTCTTGATAATAATTATCTACTGTGCAAGCTACTTTCTGAAAATGAGGTAAAAATCACTGAGAAAATGATACAAAGCATGAAAGGCCTATTAATGAGAATGAGAAAAATTCAGAAATGCAGGAACAGAAGTAGAGAGAGAAGAAAAATCACTGAAAAAACACTTCAGACATGAATTGTAAAGTAGATGTGAAGGGTTTTGACAACAACTAGATGAAAGAGGGAAAAGAACTGAGGGAAGAGCTGACAAATATATAAGATAAACATCCATCATTGGTTGCCAGTTCCAACCAGCAGATTCCAGGGTGATAGATGAAGAAATGGCCATGCAGTGGTATCTCAGAATACTGCCTATTAAATAAATAATATTTTAATTACTACTCTAGGGTGAGGAATGAGTTTAACCCATAGACAAGGTGAAGATCCCATTCTCTCCCCCAACCTCCACTATTATAGGTTCACATTAGCCCAGGGCAAACTTAAGGGGTTACAGGAAAACAGGCAAAAGGGCACGTGCCAAGAAGTACAGGACAAGAAGTCAGAAAGCACTTAAAAAGTTCTGTAAGGGATCCAGGAATTGCTGCACTCAGGTAGGATACATCTGGGGATTTCTGTTTTTTGGTAGGAATGAAAGCAAAAGGTGACATCATCCTGTTGCCTTTTTCAACCAGTAATTTTCCATGGTATCATTCATGCTTCAAGCACACAATCAGATCATGTACAACCAGTCACAGTCCCCACAGGGCTCTAGGGTTTCCACCCTTGATTACCACAAGTCACTTAACCAATAAAAGAAATGTAGGTGTCTGAAAGGGAAAAACCTAAACGAAGAAACAAAGCAAATATTAAAGACCATAAACTCACCAGGCATAGTGGTCCATGCCTGTAATTCCAGCTCTCAGAAGCCAGCTCTTGGGAAGGTAAGATGACAAGGCTGTTTTATATGCTATATCCTTCCCCAAGTCTGTTGTCAAAATTTCTTTAGAAATAGAAAACAGTGCTTTGGAATTTTTTTTAACAGAATACTGAGGCACTTGGGAAACACAGTAGTGGTATAGTGCCTCACTAGCATGCAAAAAATCTTGGGTTTAATCCCCAGAACTGAAAAGGGGCAGGGGAGAGAGAAAGAGAGATGGGGGGGAGTGGCTCTCTATTTGGTATAATGAATATCAACCGATACTCTAGAAAGTCCCAACTTGGAAGGGAAAACATAATCCTTTGTGTATCTATAAGTGCAAACAACATACAGGATAATGAAAAGCAGAATCTCCTCAACCTTTTAGAAGGAAATCTTCTGTGTCAGAGGGAAATAGAGCAGCAGAATGAAGGTTCACAAAGCTAGGCATAGGGAAACCATGCATTTGATAGCAGCCAAGATGAATTTTAGGTATAAAAGCCCTGGCATTCAAGTTGTCCTGGAAGATCTCAAGTAATGCTGTTCCTATGGTCCCTTCCAGACAACCAACTGGACTTCAGTCAGCAATCACAAAAGATACTGACAATAAGGACAGATGATAAATGCTAAGTTGGTAGATCATGTGCTCAAATAAGATTAAGTGATTGACAGGGAATGTGGCTCAGTGGTAGAGTGCTTGCCTAGCATGCATGAAGCCCTGGGTTTGATTCCTCAGTACCACATAAACAGAAAAGGCTGAAAGTGGCGCTTTGGCTCAAGTGGTAGAGCACTAGCTTTGAGCAAAAGAAACTCAGGGACAGTGCCCAGATCCTGAGTTCAAGCCCCAGTACTGACAAAAAACAAAAAAGATTAAATGATTGGAAAAGGAGGCTTTGTTTGAAGTGGGAGCACTCACTAGAATGACTGAATTATAATCCATTCTTGTGTAAAGAGATGGAAGAAAACGTGATGGTTAAGATAAGCCTCATTTCACACATATACACACACATAAACTTTGTGTGTGTGTGTGTGTATGTGTGTGTGTGTGCATGTATGTATGAAACAACTAGTAATAAGACTATTATTTAATATTACAACATCCAAAATATAATTTATACAATGAAACATTACTGTCACTGTTATTTCAAGAATCACTATTTAATGCAGTAATATTCTGTATAAAATACACAATTTATTCTTAATCTATCCAATTAAACTAATCCTTAACATACATATAACAACATAAATTATTATTAATTTTAAAACATGAAGTTGATTGCATAGAGATCTTAGGTGGAGGGTCTTGATGTGACATCTGTTTATTCCAGATCTTCTAGGTACAAGGAATCTATGTCGTTCCTATGGGTGGCAGGGGAGGAATCTGCAACACAGATACAGGTTTGGGTTCATTGGGGAGTTGCAGGGATGAGGGAGGTGGGCTCATTGGAGAGATGCAGGGATGATATGGGTGGGCTCACTGGAGAGATGGAGAAGTGAGAGAAGAGGGATAACTAGAAGATGCATAGATGAGGGAGGAAGGCTCATGGGGAGGGGTGGGAATGCAAAGGTGAGGGAACAGGGTTCCCTGGGGAGTACAGATGTAACCCAGAGGCTCCTTAAGCCCAGGAAGGTGATGATCTGTGGCCTCCTTAAAGGCCCAGTTCCAAGGGTTCCAAGGCCTGCCTTCTCCCTTCTGCTGAAGTTGTCTCTGTGCAGAGAGAGTCTAAATGCCCTCTAGGAAGAAATACCCCAGCCATTCCCCTGGACAGCCTTCAAGGGCTGCACACCTCACAGTGGATTTAAAGAGGGGAAAGAAGGGCTTCTCCAACTCCAGATGGAAAGAACTACCCCACACAACTGTGCACCCTGAGGAACAGGAGACTCAGTGAACAGGTAGAACCATAATCTGCCCTTCACCTCTACCCTCTGTGGAACCCACTCCCTATCCTGAGACCCACAGGCAGCTTCCTCAAGCTCTTCCATCATTCAAGAGTACTTTTCCAGCCAGGCACTGGTGCTTATGGGCTCCTGCCTGTAATCCTAGCTACTCAGGAGGCTGAGATCTGAGGATCATGCTTTGAAGCCAGCCTGGACAAGAAAGTCCATGAGACTTGTATCTCCAATTAAGCATCAAAAAAGCTGGAAGTGGAGCTGTGGCTCAAGTGGTAGAGTACTAACCTGGAGCACAAAAGCTTGGAGAGAGTGCTCAGGTCCTGAGTTCAAGCCCCAGGACTGGCACAAAAGAAAAGTACTTTTCTAATAGTCCTATCCAACTGTGTTAGTGCTTCTTATTTCAAATAAAGCATTTTCTGGTGTTTAATATTGTGTCACTTTAGAAGATACTATCATGAAAAAGGTCTTAGAAATATAACATCTATAATGAATAAAAAGGATGTAAGAAATGTATCGTTCTTGTTGACTCAAGATGCTGAGAGCCAGAGGATTGCATTTCAAAGCCATCACAGACAAAAAAAAAAAAAAGCTGGACTAGGGTGTAGCTCAGGTAGTAAGAGTTCCAGCCCAGAAAGAAGGAGAGGAGTAAGTACAAGACAAGGTTCTGAGTTCAAACAAGAGAGAGAGAGAGAGAGAAAGAGAGAGAGAGAGAGAGAGAGAGAGAGAGAGAGAGAGAGAGAGAGAGAGAGAGAGAATGGGGGGCAAGAAGGGAAAAGAAAAGGAGAAAAGAAATTTTAAAATGTTAACTCATCCCCAGGAGCACTGCATTGCTTGTTTACTTGCTTGCTTGCTTTATTTATTTAGTGCTAGGGCTTAAACTCAGGGCCTGGGTGCTGTTCCCGAGATGTTTTGCTCAAGGCTAGTGCTCTACCACTTAAGCTACAGCTCCATTTCCAGCTTTTTTGATAGTTTTAGTGGAGATAAGAGTCTCACAGACTTTCCTGCTCAGGCTGGCTTTGAATTGCGATCCTCAGATCTCAGCCTCCTGAATTGCTAGTATCAGGTGTGAGCCACCAGCACCTGTCTTCATTGTGTTGCTTTCAGATGGGTGTTTTATTTTTTTGTTTTAGTTTTTTTGGGGGGGGTCCAGTCGTGGGGCCTGAACTCTGGGTCTGGGCACTGTCCCTCAGCTCTTCAGCTCAAGGCTAGCACTCTACCACTTGAGCCAGAGCGCCACTTCCGGCTTTTTTCTTTTTGCTAATGTGGTGCTGAGGAATTGAACCCAGGGCCTCAGGCATGCAAGGCAAGTGCTCTACCACTGAGCCACCTTCCCAGCCCGGGTGTTTTATTTTTTAACATACCAAAAATACATAAAATACATATAAAACAGCAGTATTTGGCTAGAGACATGATGTTATGAGGTGACCTGGGTGACCTCCCAAGAGGCTAGGGTACCCTGGCAAATCCCAGGATCTTCTGAGCATCCCAGAGTGGGCTGTGAGGAGGAGGCCACGCTATTGTCTGTATGAAAAGGAGCCTGGGATACCTCTCTCAAACTCGTACTTAAAGAGTGGGGGACAGAATTGTCTCCCAACACCTGCCATATCCAGTGACTCACAAGTCATCTCTCTGTTCATTATGGGGCATCGGACAGGCAAGACTTTTCCTGCAGACTGCATGTGCACAGCACTGGCAGCAATGCCACAAAGGACACAATGCACAGCCTCCTTGAAAGTTGTGCACAAAATGGTCCTCCCCGCCACCCCCAGTTTCCTTGTTACTCTAGCAGCTGGGGAGGCTCTGCATGGCAGGAGCCCAAGGCTGTGGGATAGACTTCTGCTCTTAGGGAAACTGTCATTGAATGCCAACTGTTACCTGTCCTTTTATCTTCATGTTGCTTTTCACATACATCAGTGGCCAATTTGGGTCCTGCTTGGTTTGCCTGGAGACCTTGATGAACTGAAAAGCACATCAAGTTAAGCAAGCAATGGGAACTTATACTCATTCACCTTGTCCTCCATCAACACGACCATACTTACATTCCTCCTCCTCTTCTAGTTCACTGAAGCCCTCGCTGCTCCCTATGGACTCTAGATACAGAGAATCCATTGACATCTGCAAAGAACAGAAATACTGTGTATGTTCAGAGCCACTTGGGACAAGAGTATGTTTCGGGGTGGGGGGCCCCTCAGGGCAGAACCTGACTTCTCTGGATCTGTTGGTTCTGCAGCAGGATGGGACTCAGTTCTTCTAATCCCAGTCCAGCCACCTAACTGCCTGGAGGCTGCTCAGTTCAGTTCATTGGTGTGGTCTGGGCTCAGACACCAGTGCAATGTTAAAGGAGAGCAGACCAGAAGGGAATTTTATAGACATTGTATATATAACAACACTCAAGGGCTACACAATGATGCTTGGGTCAATCATGGACCACAAAGACAATGTGTGGCTGAGTGAGGTCCTTGCCAACTTTATTTGCTTAAGTATGATCTATGATGTTTAAACTTGAAGAAATCACCTGAAGATCCATTTCTCAGGGCCAATCCTATCTTACTGGCACACCACTGTGTGCCAACTGCCTTGTATGAGGCAGGTCCTTCAGCCTGAGAATTATTGAAAATAAGAAAAAGAGAAAGTAACAACTAAATAGTAATTCATGAACCAGAAAGAAAGAAGGTAAAAAGGAAATAAAAGGTTAGGTGTCTCACAACAGTAATACTAACTACTTGAGAGCCAGAGATAGGACGAACTAAGTTTGAGGCCAGCCAGGCAAAAGTTATGATGGTGCATGCTTGTGGTCCCAGACACTTGGAGGCAGAGATAGGAGAATCATAATCTGAGCTGACCTAGAAAGTTTTGGAATCTATCTGAAAAGTATCTGAAAGGACTGGAGGCTTGTTGCCTCGATTGGTACAGTGCTTGGTTAGCAAGGGTAAGGCTCTGAGTTCAGTCCCCAATACTGACAAAGAAGGAAGGAAAGAAAGAAAGAAAGAAGAAGGAAGGAAGAAAGGAAGGGAAGGAAAAGAAAGAAAAAGAAAGAAAGAAAGAAAAGGAATTTAAAGAAGAAATGAATTACATGCAATATGTAGGTTCTTTTTGAAGAGCTGACAGATACGTTATCTTCTGAGTGACCAGGAACAGTAGCAGTGATGGAATGGACATGCAGATGAAAGGAGAGAGAGTCAAAATTGAGATGAGAATTCAAATCCCCTGCTGTTTCTCAGCACCCTCTCTAACCTCATGCCTACACTTCTATCTCAAGGCCTGGAGTGCCTCCCTCCTGCAATGACAGAGGTGGTCTCTCATCTCCAACGTACTTTTCCTGCCCTGCTGGTTGGTTGACTGGAACCAGGAAGAGACATCTGTGCTATTCTGCTGACTTCCTCCTCCAGGAGGCAGCCACTGTTTCTAAGACATGACAGACTTCCCTCTCTCCTCCTCACTTCACTGCCTGCCTTTCTGTCAAACTCCACCAGTCATGTTATTCAGCAATATAAAACTCTGGGAGAAATATTCAAGGTATACTCTTCTATCCACTCCCAGAAATTAAAGAGTTGCTTCCCATATTAGGAGCACTTTCTGAGCCTGTGTAGGTTCTGTGAGGGGTTAGTACAACCAATGCCACATAGTGAATGACTCTTTTTTTTTTTTTGGCTTAACACTAGCACTCTACCACTTTGAGCCATAGTGCTACTTCCAGTTTTCTGGTGGTTAATTGGAAGTACGAGTCTTGTGGACTTTTCTGCCCAAGTTGCCTTTGAACCTTCATCCTCATATCTCAGCTTCCTGAGTGGCTAGGATTACAATACCTGGATTGAATTTTTTTTTATTTTTTTATTTTATTTTTTATTTTTTTGGGTCCGGTCGTGGGGCCTGAACTCTGGGCCTGGGCACTGTCCCTCAGCTATTCAGCTCAAGGCTAGCACTTTACCACTTGAGCCACAGCACCACTTCCGGCGTTTTTTCTTTTTGCTTATGTGGTGCTGGGGAATGGAACCCAGGGCCTCATGCATGCAAGACAAGCACTCTACCACTGAGCCACTTTCCCAGCCCCATGGCTTGAATTATTTTTGTGTATGTTTATACGTATGTATGTATGTATGTATATGCCAGCCCTGGGGCTTGAACTCAGGGAGCTGGAAGCTGTTCTTGAGTATTTTTGCTGAAGGCTAGCACTCTAACACTTGAGCCACAATTCTACTTCTGGTGTTTGGGTGATTAACAGGAGGTAAGAATCTCATGATTTTTCTACTCAGGCTGGCTTGGAACCACAATCCTTAAATCTTAAGACTCCTGAATAGCTAGAATTACAGGCATGAGCCACTCATGCCCAGCTTGAGAATGGTTCTGTTATGCTTTGGAAACCTTAAGTGACTTGTAAACATTTAATCTTCATACCAACACAATAAAATTTAGAAATAATGTGACTTGTTCAAATCCCTTTGATTTGCAAGTAAGGAACAGATTTGGGAAATGTTGACTTTTAAATCAGGGAAAAAAAAGAAGTTACACTACTGTACAGTCAATGCCCATGAACAAAATGTGTCATTGCTGTCACCAAGGTGCAAGTATAACTATGTCTTCTATCTATTTTCTTCCTTTGCTTTGCTTTCCTTCTTTTTTGTTTTGCCTTTTTCCCCCTCTACTCTGATATCTTCTCCTCCCTTTTTCATTTCATTTTCATTTTCCTTGTCTTTTTTCACTTCATTCCTTAGGCCCCAGAACAGCAAGTGAGATCCAGCTATTCCCCAAACTGGCTCCCACTGGGACTAACCTGGTGTGTTGCTACCCACCTAGGGCTTCTTCCTCATTTGGGTATTCTTCAGAGGACTTCAAGGAAAAGCCTTCAGAAACATAGACAGTAAGTTATTACAGAATGGCATCCTTTCCTTGCTAGGCTACTTGAGAGTCCATGCTGGCTCACACAACATAGCCATATTCTTTTCTCTGGATTTGCAGACCCTCTCTGGGCTCTAAGGACTTTAAGGTCTTCAATAAGAAAGTGCTCTGTAGAAACTTAGAGCGGCTGAAATAGTCTTTCAACTTCTCACATCTACTAGTTTATCAACATAAACACTCTTACCTGCAACTGTGTCAGCCTGAAATTCAATTTTGGACATGCACACAACTGACACATCCGAGACCAGAGAGAGACATAAGGCCAGGCTTGAAGCAGCTACCCACAAGAGGAGAGGAATATTTTCACTGTTTTTTAAACACACGTCTACTGAATACTGAAATGCGGCTAGAGGGATGGGATTCTGAATGTTTAGTTTTACTTATTTAAATTGATTTATGTAGAACAAACACTCTCTCTAGTGGCACTCTGAAGGGCAAAGACCTAAGATGAGGAAGACATGTCCTCAAATACACGGTGTTTCCTTGCAGTGTTTTCAGGACTGATCTGATCACTTCCTTTTAAGTACTCCCTGAGCACATGCACAAGGTCTAGGTACTCTATGAAGCTCTGGGTACATAAAACAATGAAGTCTGCCAAGCTCAGCATACTTCCTAGACGTGATGAGAACAGTGATAAGACAAGGGAGGAAAAGGCTGGTGACTCATGCTTGTAATCCTAGCTATTCAGGAGGCTGAAGAGCTGAGGATCCTGGTTCAAAGCCAGTCTAAGAAAGGAAGTCCTTGAAACTCTTATCTCCTATTAATCACCAGAAGACCAGAAGTGGAGCTGTGACTCAAGTGGTTAGAATGTTAGCTCTGAGCAAAAGAGCTCAGGAACAGCTCCCAGGCCTTTTCAAACCCCAGGACTAACCATAAAGGGGGTTGGATGAGGAAACCACACTGTTGTCAGAACCCACCCGTGTCCTCCTGACCTTGGATCACAATGTGAGCAGGCATCAGGCTTAGTGCACAAGAGTAGGCAATTTGAGCACAGAACCACGCCATAATGGACTAGCCTAGGAACTTATTCATCACTCACACATAGGAACCCAAACAGGCAACACAGGGCTGAGCCTCAAGGGTAAGAAGCCATGAAGATGATATATGTCTCTAACTTGCAGTGACCAGCCAAGGCCAGGATCCCACCAGGGCGATATAGACAATATTTAGGACAGGCAATGGCAGTACATTCCTTCAAGTGAATCTGCTGTCTCCATTATAATTTGATTAATTTACTTCTCTCTATAATCATGCTGTAATGATTACTGCATTTTTAACATTAAGAGCATGTGCACTTAGCTGTATGCCAGTGTTCAGGCCTGTAATCCTAGCTACTCAGGAGACTGAGATATGAGGATCGCATTCAAAGCCAGCCCAAACAGAAAAGTCTGTGAGACTCTTATCTCCAATTAATCACAGAAAAAGCCAGAAGTGGAGTTGTGGCTCAAGTGGTAGAGTGCTAGCCTTGAGCAAAAGAAGCTAAGGGATAGTGCTCAAGCCCTGAGTTCAAGTCCCAAGACCAGCACACACACACACACACACACGCACAACCCAAAAAAAAACCCACATTCACTGGCAATTAGGGGAACAACACTTTTGAAACATGTGAACACATATAAACTCCCGCAGAGGCATACTTGCAATCAAACCACATGAATACACATAGAGCCCTCATTCCGTACACACAACTCTATATCACCTAAATTGAGCATGGCTGCTTGTAAACACTATAGAGATTGTCTATGTTTCTTTACCTAGAAAATGAATTTCTACAACTGTACTCCCAATTTTCATTCATAGCAGCAAGCTGCAATCAGTGGCTCTGCAAACTCAAGCCACCAAGACCTTTGCACCCTTTTCATCATCTAGACTACTCCTCAGCAAGTTAGGGACTCCACAGTACATACCATCTCCTGACTCTGTGTTGTTCCCCTGTAATTACAGAGAAGGAATCAGAATGAGGATCCAATTATGACATGTTCTGTGTGCATAGGTTTTTTTCACTTGAAGATGCAAAACAGAACACAAGACAAGAAAAGAACAAATCTATTCATAGCAAAAGACACAGGTTCTTCATGGTGTGTGTGTGTGTGTGTGTGTGTGTGTGTGTGTGTCTACTTAATCAATCACAATATACCTTCCTGTTGTTTTGTTTTTTGGTCTGAGACTAAGACTCAAACTCAGTACCTGATGTTTTTGCTCATTGGCTAGCGCTCTACCAACTGAGCCTTTCCTCCAATCCCACAAAATTATTTCTAAGGAGAAAAAAATGCTAAAGAGAAAGCTTGCTCCCCTACTATTTGTTATCAAATTATAATTGTTTAATGTTGCCTTCAATGGGTTCTCATTTGGTAACAGACTTTCCATTTGATTCCCCTCACTCAGCTAATTATATATATATATATATATATATATATCATTGACAACATGAAAATTCACTATTTTCTATTTAAATTCACTTGCAAGAAGAGATACCAAGCTGGGTGTGGTGACCCATTCCTGTAATCCTAACTACTCAGGAGGCTGAGATCTGAGAATTGCAATTTGAAGCCATAATTGGCAGACAAATTGGCAAGACTCTTATCTCCAATTAACCAGCAAGAAACCAGAAGTGGAATTGTGGCTCTAGTGGTAGTGCACCATCCTTGAGCAAATAGCTAAGGGAGAGTGCAATGTTCTGAATTCAAACCTTTGTACTGGGATGGACAGAGAAACAGAGACAAAGAGCCAGTCCATAACACCTATTTCAGAAGTCAAGGAATCTTACCAGTATCTTCAGGAGTTCCTCCTTAATAGTAGTGTCATCAGAACATGATGACTCAGAAGGACCTACAAGGACACAAAATGACAGTCAGAAAGCTCATAGTGTTGTTCATGAATTATTCTGAAGCATTAGTTGATTTGGCCATGAGGTAAGAATGCAAGACAAAGGAGAGGAGCAGGCAAGAAATGTCAGCTAAAGACAACCCAACTGCTATAAAATGTTGAGTGTAACAAGAGGACAGTCACTACAATACATTCCATGTATCAATGACAGTGTCTAAAGCCTCCCTCTGTTCAGCTAAATTTCCAAGCTAAATTGGCATTGTCTCTTTGATAATTTTTCCAACATCATATGTTCCATAAGGATCCACATGTGCTGCTATTATAGATACTGTATTATCTAGAGGTGTTAGTGATTGATTTTTAAAAACACTATGGCTGGAGGACTGGATCTAACACCAGGAAAAGTTTTCTACTATATTGCTTTGCTCATCTTTTTTTTTTTTGGTGTGGGGCCTAAAATCTGGGCTGGGCACTGTCCCTTAGCTCTTCAGCTCAAGGCTAGCACTCTACCACTTGAACCACAGCACCACTCCCAGCTCTTTCTGCTTATGTGATGCTGAGGAATTGAACCCAGGGCCTCATGCATGCAAGGCAAGCACTCTACCACTGAGCCATCTTCCCCACTCTGCTTTGCTCAGCTTTTGTGTATGTGTGTGTGTGTGTGTGTCTGTGTGCACGCATGTGTGTGAGTACATGTGCATGTGCACAAGCATGTGTGCATGTGCCGGTCCTGGGATTTGATCTCAAGGACTGAGCTCTATTCCTGAGTTTCTTTTGTTCAAGGCTAGTGTTTTACCACTTAAGCCATAGCTCTACTTCTGGCTTTGTTTTGGGTGGTAGTTTATTAGTGATAAGAGTCTCATGGACTTTCCTGTCCAGGCTGGCTTCAAACTGCAATCCTTAGAGCTGAGCCTCCTGAGTAGCTAGCATTATAGGCATGAGCCACCATTGTCCAGCTTGCTCATCTTTTAAATGAAAATAATAAGTAAATATCTGAAACTACTGGGATTCTATCAGTTAAAAATAGGTCCCACATATCATTTAAGAGTTTCCCTCCCTGCTTTCATTTTCCAGGTAACATAAGTGAATCCACATAGTCATGGCTACCCCTATTCACATTTGATCTCCAAACAGTGATACAGATTGTGCTGGACATCACCTGGGGGAAAGTGCTCATACTCTCTATCCTGACTCACCAGAGATTTGTAATATAGGTGCTAGACACTAGGCTAGCAACCAAGATAAATTTTGAGTTCTTACAGGTTAATCTATATCCAGAAGCAACCTAAACTCTAGGTATGGTGATGACTTGTCCCATGTTGACTGGTAAATATAGTTCTGTAGCCCAGAGTTTTAACATTAGGACACAAGCCTGCTTTCATATTTTCCTCATTCACTTGCAGGGTTGAGATCTTGGATCATTATTTTCTGACTATTTCCATCTAAGGTGGGGAATACTAAAGTACTCTTCAGATTTGGAAGTAGTGAAAACTAAAGAATATATTTAATAAAGAGTATATTGGTATGGGTTTGTTTTAGAGAAATGGCACACATTACACTATATATGTGGAACATTTTTTCTGGTAAAATACCATATTTGCATACCCATTCACCATCAATACAGAAGGACTCATACATTGGTATCTCCCAACCCTCTTGGATATAAATCCACAAGCCCAAAATGGTTCAGCTGCTTCCTGAGATTGTAGTAGATGGTCTTATTTCTTCATTTGATTGTTTTTTTTTTTTCACCACATTCCCACTCCTCTTTTCCAGCAGGATCTAAAATCAGGCTGGCTTTCTAAATAAAAACAGGCAAGAAAGTCCAACCTTTCACAGAACTTAGACTTTTTCTCAGCAAGTGAGTGAGTTAAGAATACGTACAATGTTCATTTGCTTCTGAGGTCATCTGTAATTAGAGAAAGAAGGGCACCATGAGGTCATGTCATGTCATTTCTGATTTCTACAGATGTTTTGTCCATGCTAGTGACATTCAAAAACTGCAGAGCACACAGTGCTTTAGACAGTGACCATGAAAGAAAGCTGGGACGAAAGGCATGAACTTTGCTTGGAAGATTTCTTAAGTTCATTTTTTATTTTTTGGAGGTACTGGTATTTGAATTCAAAATCAAGTACTCTACAACTAAGCCATGTCTCTAAGCCTGTTCTGTCTTGCTCATTGCTCAGGCATGTGCCTGTCATAGCTGGGATTCCATGATAAGAATGTGCCAACACACTCAGATGCTTCCATTGAGATGAAATCTCCTAACTTTTCTCCTTGACATGGCCTGGAACCACAATCTTCCCAGTCTAAGCCTCACAAGTAGTTAGGATTACAGGAGTGAGCCACTGACATGTAGCTTATCAAGCCTGTTGCCTTGGCACATACAAAATTCTTTTCCATGAAGAAAATTAGCCCCTGGTAAAAACACTCTCTTATATATTTTGTAACTGATGCTGTCATATATGAACATTTTTTTCTATAAATCCATTTAATTCAGCATCTGTCCCCCCCTCTCTTTTCTCTCTCTCTCTCTCTCTTTTTGTGCCAGTCCTGGGTACAGACCCTGAGCTTTTGTTCTCAAGATGAGCACAGCTGTCTTGAGCCACAGTTTCACTGTTGGCTTTTGCTAGTTAATTGGAGATAAGAATCTCACAGACTTTCCTACTCAGTCTAGCTTCAAACCATGATCCTCAGATCTCAATCTCCTGAGTAGCTGGGATTATAGGCATAAGCCACCAGTATCAGGCCAATATTTCTCTTTTCTTTAAAAAAATTATCAATATATATTACCTGAACAAAGCAAGAGGCTTCATTGTTATATTTTTATATATGTGTATAATATACTTTCACCATATTTTCACCCTCTAATACTTTTTACTGTTTTTTTCCTTTAGAACAGTTATATTTTTAATATATATGTATTTATTATAAAGATACTGTACAAAGGAGTTACAGTTACATGAGTAAGGTAATGAGTAAAATTCCTAGAGCATTGTTACCCTCTCTCTTGTTTTTCCCCACCATCCTTTCCCTCCGCACCTACCCCCCTCCTCTTTCTCCCCACCCCAAAGTTATAAAGTTCATTTTCAACACAGTATGTTGTATGTCTCATTGTTACAGTGGGTCAACCTGTATCCTTATTTCAGCATTTTATTATTTCCCTTCCCCTCCCCAA